TAACAACCAATCTTAAGTGTTTCTCTCATGAAGCTGTACTTTGTTTCACACACTGTATTAAGAGCACACTAAGGGCCTGTGTCCATGTAGAGTCTTCGTCGCAGTCTTCTAGGGACTACGGACATCAGGAAGTGAAAAGTAAAACCTCAATGTATTTAACATGTATAGTACATAACAGACCGTGTCTAAAAGGTGACAAAAAGGTGCGTCTGACCTCAGACATGTAGTCATCCGTACTGTCCTTGTAGACGGGGCGGATGTAGGCGTAGACGGGGATGGAGTAGAAGCCGTTGGGGAGTGCCGACACCCTCATGGCCTCGTGGATCCGATGCCGGACGAACTGCCGGGCCTGCCAGGAATCCCTGAGCACCAGCTCCAGATAGATGGACGGAAAGAGCGCCGTGGACTCCGCCCAGAGCCACTGCAGTTCGTCATTCCTGTCCTTCTCGATGGCAGGACACTCTCCGGTGTAGCCCGCCATGTTCTGCTTGTAGTCGTAGTTGTAGCAGTCGGGGTACAGGTAGTAGCCCCAGAGCCTGTTGGGCCTCAGATTCTTGCCGATGCGGATGGATCGGATGAAGTACTTCTTGGCAGCGCGTTCGAACAAGATCTTCGCCCAGTACTCCGCTTCGGCTTTGGTCAGAAACGGGTAATTCTTCTGGGCCACGTCAATGGAAATCTGTCTGTAGACGTCTTTGCTGCCCCAGTTTCGATCCCACTGCGGCCTCCACTCCTCAAAGTCGAGCACGGCGAGGCCCGGCCAGTTGCCGGTGATGTAGTACTCGATGTCCTCCTTGGCGAGCTCGTGGTGCTCCTGCAGGTCAACCAACTGCGGCACGCCCTCTTCGTACAGCTCGCCGGTGTCTTCGTCCACGTAGGGGAAGACGCCAAAGCGGTCGGTGTAGAATATGGAGATGCTCTGGTCGGTCGCCGTCTTCAGCGTGCTGCTGACGAAGTGGAAGTGGGAGAGGTCGAGCGGCATGCCGAAGCGGCTATGGCAGAGCTCCGTCGGGGCGTTCCACATGAACAGGAATGGGTGGCCGCCACGGAGCGGAGGATTCGTCCCCGGTAGGGCCTGGACGGAGCACAGCAGGGCCAACGCAGTGACCAAGATGGAGAAGAAACGTTTGTCATCAAGCAGCTGGAGTTGACTCATTTTGAAACACCTGTGAGCAGAAGGAAACAGAAAATGAGGTCGGAATGAGTTCCAAAAACACTTAAATTAATCTAGTTTTGTACAAATTCCCCTTCAAATCTCTCATTGATGTTGTCCATAAAGGTCAAGAAGAAGTGGTATCCCTGCTTAAGAAAGTCACGGATTCTCTACAAGTAGACGGAGCTTGGTTTGATTTAAAACTGAAATACAAAAAGGTCCCCATTAACCAACTTCTTAAGCGCTAGATTTAAATTGGCCATTTCTACTATTAAAAATAAGGTTTTTTTTTTTTTAAATAAACATCTTTAAGTGGGTCCAAGTTTATTTCCTGATGTTGAGATTGATTCTTCAAATCATCCATCAGTGTTTGTCAGCTGATCACATATCAGCCAGTTCTCTTGCTGTATTCACAAGTATATTGATTACAACAATGTGTCTTTGAGTACCTTTAATTATTTAGGTAGTGTTTTTAGCACATGTCTTTAGAGTATTTTAGTTTGGTAGATCAGTGCGTGTGTGTGTGTGCGTGTGTGTGTGTGTGTGTGGTCTGCTGGCCCTCAGCGTCTTGCCGATGTGGAGAAAAGTACCTCTTGGCAGCGCGTTCAACACGATCTTCGCCCGGTCCTCCTCCTCGTGTTCTGTCAGCAACGCGTTCTTCTTCTCTGTCTGTAGATTTATTTTGTTGCCCCGGTGTGTGTG